TCCCATGGACTTCAACGTGATGATGACAGTATGCAAGGCCAAAGCAGCGAGATGCCAGATTAATCTTTCGAATATAGTCTCAGGAAGTCTGAAGGAAGCCCCACGGCAGGTAACAGGCATTACTGCAAAGCTCTGGAGGTGACAAAAGGCAAGTCGTGTTACTTAGGGCCATCGTGAAGAGAAAACAGACAGGCCAAAAAGCTAGAACACGAGAGAAGGATGCAGTCTGCTGGGATGGGGGTTGTGTCACAAGGAAAACCTCTGGATTTAAAGGTGCTAAAAGGCCTGGAGCTAGAAGGTGATGATGTTTTGATGCAGCCAGTGCTCCAAGGCAGCCACAACTCTGCTGCCAAAGCCGGCCCCTTCCCTGCAGCCCCTCTGCAGATGAGAGAGAAGGGAAGGTGGGTGTAGGGACAGCACAGTGACATGGCACCGGGGCAGGATCCTGGCCACTTAGGGCCAGGATCTGTGAGGGCTCCCCAAGGGATCCAGCAGGGCAGGATCTTGCCACCATGTCCTGTCGCATCACCCCAGCCAGGGAACAGGGCAGGGCAGGGTCAACCTCGGGCCCAGGCACTGCTGTGGGGATGGGGACAGGAGAGGGACAAGATGCTGGCCCACAGGTGGAAGTCGGGAGCAGGTCCAGTGAGGGGAACTGGGGTCAGATATGGACCCAGAATGGCCAGACGGGCCAACAGCAGGGCCAGTGGATGAGATCAGGCCAGGATGTCTGCAGGCCCAGACCAGCGGGCTTCATGGCCACACACAGCTGTGACAGACCACCAAACTGGGTCTGTAAAGCTCACTTGCTTTTTAGTCCCTAGGGGTGCCTGGGGTGGGACTCGGAAAAACATGCTCCTCCACTGCCTGTCCTAAAATAAAGTGTTTTGGGACAGAAAAACTACATTTTGCTCTTGCAACCAAGAAGCCCTTGCTGTGAAAGGATGGTGTAAATGCATAAATGCAACAAATGCTGCTCCTTTGCAGACCAGTAAGAAAATGTAACTGGTCTGAAAATTGCAACTGGTAAGAAAATGTATGTACCAAGCAGTGGTGCATAGCCCCTTCCAGCTGAGAGGCCCTGCATCATCTCTAATGTCTTTGAGAACTGTGTGACACTTTTCCGTGAGGACTTTTCCTGGCATCTGCTATTAAACTATCCCTTTTCCTAAAGAAGTACTCTAGGCAATGTATCATCCGGTTGCTGTTTCCAGAAGCAGTTGTTTCAGTAGGACTGTAGGAATTTAAGGAGTTTGGTTCTGTTTCATTTGGTATAACGAGCCCTGCGTAACTAGGAAAGAGGGATCTCCAGGAAGGCAACTACCAGCTCTCAAGTGTTGTTTCAGTCATTACGGGGACTGCTGTGAGAGGTATATCTAAGGTCAGGTCCTAAATTTCCAGAGAAACTGCATTGGGATCAGCTGAGTAACTGCACATTTACATCACTGAAGGCAGCTGAGATCAGAATCTGGACCTCTGCCTATGAAATGCGGCAGGGAATTGAGGAAAATCTGTGTTAAATATAGACAAAGTTAACAGCAAAGATCTGGTTATGTCATCATAAACCAGGGAGTGAGCCACGGTGGAATCTGATAATTCACAAGTAGCACATCTGTGAATTAATTACCAGGTTCCACCAATGAAGGCAAAGGGGATGATCTAAGTGCCGTGACTCACCAGGTTTTTACTCATGTTTATAATATGTTGTTTCCAGCGATGAGCCCTGGAAAAAGCACAGCATCCACCTGGGAAGCAGCACGCAGTGAAGTCCTGCTTTTCTCCTTTTATCTTAGCCAGGTATGCCGAGGATGTCGTGTACCAAAAAAAAAATGAATTATCAGGAAAAAAACAGGGTAAAAGGAAATGCATGGTTACAGTTCCTGCTCTGGCAAATAGGAGGAATATTGTCTGCGCGTAGGCCAAAGTCTGCTTTGCTCTTACTATAGTTGTAGTTGTTAAGCTAAAAATAACAGTTCAGAAAGCTGTTCTTTAAACAGACAAAGTTTTCTGGCCTCAGGCATAACCAGGAAGAGCAGTGGAATGCACATCCTGAACTGCAGCCTGTCTTGTTACTGACAGCTTTGGCTGGAAGGTAAGAAGAAATACGTAGCCTCTGACGGGTAAGGATTACTCTTCTAAGGTTGAACCAAGTGTTCAAAGAGCAGTTAGAACATTATCTAAATAGGAGCATCAGCACTTGGATCTATTTTTTCCTACAAACTGTCCTCCCAAGACCTGATTTGCCATTATTCCTTTGCCTCTCAAGATCTGAGCGAGATTCCCTCTGATGATGTGTTGTCCAAGGCATATCTCATTTTAAGATAGACTTTTTTCAAAAAACGCTTAGGTGCCCTGTTCCCTGCACGTGACCTGGTCCTCCAGCGAGCAGCTCCGTAGCACGGAGAGAGAGGAGGGAAAGGGGGGGAGCTGTGACTCACAGATGTCCCTCTGAGTCACAGCCCCATGGGGACATTACGCAGAGCCCTCACCCGGACTAATCCTTTGCTGTCCCCACTAGTGCCACCTCCGCTCTCTGTTGTGATTGCCTTTGAAGGAAGAGTCTCCTTTAATTTTCAGCTGCAGCTAACTTTATAAAGCCACTATCTTCTTTGGCTTATACTTGTGTGTCAAATATATATGGTTCGGAAAGGTTAGATGGCAGTCTGATCTGAAAGAAGCAGAAAAGGGCATGCTTAACAGCCCCGACCTTGACTGAAGATAATGGCAGACGAGCCTTCAGCTAAAGTCATCCTCCCTGTGCATGTTTAATTGACTTAATTTTATGGTCTCAATACACACAGAGACTGCATAACAAGTGCTAAAAATATATCATTTCCTAATGGTATAATAAATTCAGTTTTAACTGCTGTATATTTGGATTAATGTATTCACTGCACTCAAGTTTAAATATCTGTGAAGCTTCTGTATTTTTTCCCTAAGGGAAAAACACTTCCTACAGCTTTCACAACTCGCCTGTTCCTTTCACTGAGCATCCTGAATGGACTGTATAAACCTGTGCTTGCAGCTCCTGAGTGTCTACAAACATTTTCTGAAGTGGAATATTAATAGCATGTTATCTTCCAAGGCCTCTTTACTTCAAGGTCAGCAGAGTATTTTGCTGGCATAACCCCGCTTTTGTTTTTGCAAAAAGAGGGGGTGAGTTGTCAGGCTGATAAAGAAAAGAAGGCCAAGCTTAGGGATGTCTGACGGAGGCTGTCCTCGTGTGTTTTCATCTGCACTTGGGTGATGACTAACGGGGTTTGGTATGGCTAACAGGCACTGCCATAAGGCAGGACTGGAAAATTGAAGCTGTCTTCTCATACCCGTGTCTTTAGGGAGATAAACTCTGTTGCATCTGCATAATGATTTTTTTTTTCCCCCTACCATAGAAACGATCTGAATTCCAAACTCTTTTATTTGCTTCTGTAGTTCTGCCCACTGATGCTCAGCTTCTCAGGAGTGGTCCTCTTTAGACAGCTGCCTGCCAATCTTTTATTTTGGATGAGTCAGAAATGTTTGATTCTATGAGGAAATTGTGTATGGATAGTTACAAATAATTATATGGATGGCATAGTGTATAGATTATATAGTATCTTGTTAATAAGTGTGTTGTAATAATTTCAAAAACACAAAAATTAAAAATTAATGTAAAGTATCTTTAATTAAGAGAAAATATGAACACTTTTTATCAGACATGTAGTGTGATGCTCATATCAGCATCCATGGCGCTATTATAGCTTTTATAAAGAAGACATCGTATTTTGTTTGCCATTTGGCAGTGGACTGGTTAAAGTCAAAACAACATTGCTAATCCAATTTGTGTTTTACCATTTATAGTTTTAGGTTTCTATATGCATTCTTTTGGTCTTGCATATGTGGGGAAAAGCAGGAGTTAAAAAAAAAAAAAAAAGAGAGAGAGAGAGAATTCTTTTAAAGGGAATTTCCTTGGAGTATAATGAAGGTTTTAAGTTTTCTTCAGTTTAAGGTTTTGGGGGCTATTTTTTTGGAGCTTGAGTTAACATGCTGTAAAGTTATTTTGATTTCAGAAGAAAGCATTCCACCTCAGGACTTGAACTTAGTAGGCTTTACAATGCAGATGTAGATTTATCAATACCCCTTCCCAGTGCATACAAGACCTTGAACAGCACATTAAGATCACCACTTTTACTTCCACGTTCTCCCTGCTGCAGAGTTGTTGAGTGCAGCAGGACGCTCAGCTCCTTCTGAATAACTCTTTTGCACCAGGAATGATAGAGTGGGGACATTTCTGCTCACGTTAGGTTGCACAAAACTGGTTAGATTCACCCCCAATTAGAGTTCCTTAAGACAGACTTCTTTTTTCTCTCCAGAACAAGGGCAACAAGTACAGTTACGAACTGCACTTCATTTGTGGAGACATCTAGGCAGGCAAAACCCAGACACTTGCATTAGACGATGTTATTAAAGGTAATTAAAGAATATACATCAACGTTCGACACCTCATTACAATGTCATGCTGCCCCTTAGGATACGGTAATGCTGATTTAGGTATTCCTCATTTGAGAAGCTATTTCAGCTGTTGCCCAAGTAAGCACTGCACTCATATTCCAAAATATGAGTTTGGGGATGCTCCTTCGCTCTGCAGGACTGTTTGAGGAGACATTGCTTTGAGCTGTGGGAAGCAGTAAACTTTTAAGGGCATACCAAACTTTCCCTGCCAGAATCTGTCAGTTTTGAGAAATGAAAGGTGGAAGCGTTTCTCTGGGAGGAAGAGCAGCCAGCTTGTGTGCCAGCGGGGACGAGCCAGAGCTCCTCAGGTGTGGCAGTGACGGGCTTTGGTCTAAGCGGCTGCTAAAGAGTTAAAGCTTCATAAAATCCAGTTTGAGTAAAAGTTGTTCCTGTCACGATGACTCATGTTAGACAGGTCAGACCTGCACATTTACTTCAGTTTAGCGTAATCACGCATGAATGTAGTTTCTGCTTGCTTCAGTGTCTTTCGGGACTAGGGTGAAGTTGTATTTTGCAACTGCAGCACATTCATACTTCAACCCAAATTAAAAAAAAAAAGAAAAAGATAGGACTTTGAGAAGGCACATTCCTCGCATTTGCCACAGCCTCACCAGAACTGGAGGGCTTGGGATTTGGGACCGGTTTGCGGCTGAAAACAAACCCGGTACCTTCATACCTTCCAGATGTTTGTGGCGATTGCAGAAACGCTTTAAACAGTTTTTAATTTTATTTTATTTTTTTCCTTTGGGGGTGGGGGGGCAAAGCGGCAGCTTTGGGAAGCAGCAGGGGGCCGGGGGGCGATGGCGGCGGCGGGGAGAGGGGAGAAGGGAGGAGGGGAGGCAGGACGAAGCCGCCGAGGGGGCCGGCCGGGGGAAGGCCGGGCAGGCGATGGGGCTGCGGGGGGGACCAGGGGAGAGGCGGGCAGGGGAGGGAGCGGCCCGGCAGCGCCGGAGGGGGCGGGCGGAGGGCGCCGGGAGGCCGCGGGGCCCGGCCCGGCCCGGCCCGGCTCGGCTCGGCCCGCCATGGGCACCGGGACGGGGCCGGAGGCGGGCCGAGGGTGCTGTGACCCCCGGCGCGGCCCTGCCCACCCGGCCGCCGGCAGCGGGCAGGGCGGCCGCACTTGGCGAAGTTGGCGACGGCCGCGCTGAGCCCGCCTCGGAGAGAGGCTGCTGGGTTTTCTTTTCTTTTTTTTTTTTTTTTTTTGGATTTTTTTTTTTTATTATTTTTATTATTATTTTTCGCTTCCGTCTCTCGCTCTCGCTTCAGCCAAGGTGAATGGCCCGCGGTGGGCGCGGCGGTGCCGGGCGGCTGTGCAGGGGGAAGATGCTGGCCGTGGGGGTGCTGGCCGGGCTGTCGGTGCTCAGCCTGCTCACCTACGGCTACCTGGCCTGGGACAGCCTCGGACTCGGCCCCGGAGGGACGGAGGCGGCGGGGAGCCGGCCGGGAGAGGAGCCGGGAGCAGGAGCCCCCAGCTCGCAGCCCCACATCGTCTTCATCCTGGCTGACGATCAGGGCTTCCGAGACGTAGGGTACCACGGATCCGAGATCAGGACGCCCACTCTGGACAAGCTAGCTGCCGAAGGGGTTAAGCTGGAGAACTATTATGTTCAGCCTATGTGCACACCGTCCAGAAGCCAATTTATCACTGGAAAGTAAGTTTACTACCTCGTCGTGCAGCTCACCGGCTCAGATGCCGACCCTCGTGAGCAGGGCGCTGGGGTCGCAGCCGGTCAGGTACTCCTCTGCTCTACCCCGTGGGCAGAAAGGTGCCTTCCCTTCACTTAAAAACCTCCAGCAAAGCGGACTTTCTGATGTGTTTGAAGTAGCGAAATAGAAACTGGCACTCTGCGAGCCAATAAGAGTTCGGCGCCGTGAGCTACCCCTGCAGAGTGTTACAGGACATTTACGTTTACTGCATTGCTAACATACGTGCTCGTGGTCAAGTAATGTTGCTCGTACCGGGAAGCGATCATCTTGGGCTTTGCTGTGCGATTGCAGCGTGACTTACAGGAGGGGTCCGTGTTAGGGAAGGCGCTACGCTTTCTCCTGCACATCGCAGCCTGCACGCTGGGTCACTGGGCACGCTGAACCTTGCCTTAACACCAGTTCCCTCTGGGGGCTTTATTGAATTCATGGCACGGTTCCTCATCCCCTCAGGTGTGGATGAGGGCAGGGAATCCAAATTCTTCCTTGGGGTCCTCTGAGCTGCCCTATCACTCTCGTCGTGATGCGGTTGCTGCTCTGCAGACAATTAGAAACTTTTCTCTTAAGCCACTGAATTAGATGCCTCACCAAAGTGGTAAAGGCAGCGGGTGGGTATTGTGTGGTTTGCTGTCTCAGGTAAATTGTGTGTTACTGTGGTCTGTTAAGCAACCAGTTACCTAACCTAAGGGACTTTTTACATGTGGACGTTAATCAGAATTAAGGAGGGGGGACAACAACATGCGTTTGAGCTGTAGGAATGGTTCCCAAATAACTCCAAATGTGGACACGTTTGCTCTGGAAGAAGAATGCCTTGTTTCTGTTTAGCTTAACTCACTTTGACAGGAACAGGGAACTCTTAAAAGAACAAAAACAAAATGAGAGGAAAAAAGTTATTTAGTTTATTTTCTCATTTCTTTAAATATAAACAGGAACAAAGCAAAGTTAATACTGCTGGTAAAAGAAACACATGTTTAAATAAAACAAGCAACTGGCCTGGTGTCTTGCATCTCCATATGGTAGAGCTGGAGATAATTCCTGGTCTCGGTCTAGTTCCCAGACTTGCTGAACCAGGGAGATTTGCACTGAGGGCTGACACGTTATCTAGAGAAAGACATCCCATGCTTGTTTTTTTTTACCCCCATTACGTGGACTGTACCTTAGAAGAGACGTTGTTCTGAGACACCTATTCGCTCATTCACAAGAACATACTTACCCTGCAGCAACTAAAATAACATCTTACAGGGGAAATTAATGTCAGGGTACTGTTTAATGCATCTTGGTTGTCTTTAAAGCCATGCAGCAGTTGGGAGCGAGGACCAGCGCCAGCAGCATGTAGTCAGCCAGTTTTCTGAGGACCGCGGTTTGGGAACCAGTGCGTTAGGAAGGGAATGTCATGCTGCACAGCAGTGACTCACTCAGCGGTTGGAGGAATGGGACGACCGGGTTCCAGGGCAGCCAGGGTACTGTGTTGGCTCTTAGAGGCTGCAGAGGTTGTCTAAGGGCTAAAAAGAATAAAAGCAGAGTATAGAATAACAGTAATTCAGTATAATTATTTTAATCCTTCATTAAATAGAATTTAGTGTGTAAATATATGTTAACAGTCGGTAGGAACCCGTCTCTTTTCATCAGCTCGTCAGGCGGAAATAATTCTGAAAATCTGCCTGCTTTGGTTTTGGAACCTTTTATAGGAAAAAAGAAATTTGCTTATACTTCATTTTTATTTTCTTCGTCTGCTGATCTGAAACCCTGAGAACATTTTTTTTCATCTTGTTCTACTTTGGGGAAAAAGGAGCAGCAGAGAGAAAGGACAGCCTTGCACGACTGAGAAATAAGGGAGGAAATGGTGAGGGGTTAATAGGTTTGGGCAGAGCAGTAACAAGGCAGGTCCAGAAGGATGCTGTTATCTCTTCTTGCTGAAGATAAATGCTGGCGATAGCAACTCTGAATGCTTTCTTAGTAGAGGTACCTTAATTAAAATGCCAGGACCCAGAAATTTGTAATCCAGGAGAAGTGGTGTTATTTCTTAAATTCCAGAACGTGTTAGTTCAAGGCTGAAGTCCACTGGAGGCCCACCTGGATGCTGCAGGCCTCCCAATACACATACCGTGCCTGGCGTGTTCCAAACGTTACCCGACTGATCTGTAAAAAACAGAGGGACTTGTGTAAACCGGAGCCATTGGGGAGCACTGACGCACCTTGCCAAGTGGAAGTTAGGCTGCAGGCAAAGAGACTTGAGTGCTCCAAATTCTTAGTAGGTCTCCAGCAGTCCCTCTAAGGCTTTTGCTAGTAAAGAGACCCTTCTTCTGGTAGCTTTCCTAAGCTAGTGAGCGAGCATGGGAAGAAGGTTAAAGAAGCAGAGTTAGCTCTTTATTTTTTCCTTTTGTGCTACAGCACAGCACCTCAGCTGGAGAGTCTGTCTTGCTGCCCATTTCTGCTTCTCTCTGTTTCCTCACATGCAGGGCTTGAGGCCTTGGCCTACTTTAATGTCTTGCTTCCCACCACCCCCATCGAAAGCTTTTAGGCTATCAGCAGGACTAACTTGCACAGCTTTTTATTTTGGGCCGTCTGTAGGGGCGTGGGGAGGGGGTTGCAGCTGGGCCGTGTCTTGGGAGCAGAGCAGAAAGGCGCGAGCCAGCGGGCCCAGTGCCACGTGTGATGTGCGCTCCCAGCAGGCTGCGCCGGGGCCAAGGCAGGGAGGTGAGGGAGGGAGGCTCTCGGGAAGCAGCTCAGCCCTTGCTCAGCAGCTGCAGCATGACCTGGGCGAGAGGCTGCTCCAGCGTGTGCCGCTCCTTGTCCCTGAGCCCTGCTGCTGGCTCGAGAATTTGGTGGCCAGCGTGTCCTGAGCACTTCTCGCTGTTGTCGCTCGGTGCTGGTGTGCTCAGGGCAGTGGGCTGCGGATGCTCCAGAGGTTACTGACCAGCTGATAAACTGAAGGCAAGGCTGGCTGTGTTTTCCTCTCAAGGCTGTGAGCGAAAGTAAGTCCTCCAGACCAGTTCAGTTACATGATACATTGTTCTTTTTCATTTCCTCCTCGGAAGTAATAGACATGGCTCGGTAAGGACAGTGGTTCCAGCAGAATCTCTCAGGATGCCTGGCTTTAAACAAGTGCTGAGATGCACTGAGTGCGCTGAGTTAGGCATGAAGAAATCTGTGTGTGGGCGCGTACATCAGCTCTGATGAAGTGTCAATATGATCCACAGGGACAGGAGTCAGGTACAGAAGACAGCTAAACTAAAAGACTTATTTTTAACTCATCCTTGTCTTTCAAAAGCAATGAAGAAGAAATGCATGTCCATTAACATTATTTATTGGAATTTACATAGAAAAACACAAAAGGTAATGACTCAGACTTCGAGTCTACCAAGCTCAGTCCTAGTTTACAAGTGGCCACGGTTGGATGGGAGGAAAAAGGTGCAAGCATGCACAAGGATATTTGGTCTGTGCCCAGGAGGTTGCTGGTGAAGCACATCTTGAGTTAGCTGCTGTGTCTCTGTGCTTAATGGCCTTGGAGACTTTTCACTGCTGTAGTCTGTGTTTGGCCGTAGAGTTTAAGATGATCTTGATTTATTGAGCACTAAAGGATTATATAACATAGAAGGAAAATTTAAGATCATGAGTGAAGTTTTTTGTATTCATGTGTGACAGGGAGTTGACTGAGATGGGATAGAAAGCATAAGATCAATCTCTTGCGATCAGATGTGGTATTGCTTATTTAGATAATTTGTTGAGTTATATTATCACGAACAGTCATCTCCTTTTTAAATGAAAGATTCCGAAAACATTGTCGGTGTGGACAGTTTCCCAGAGCTTTTAAAGAAATTTTGAAAGATTATAACCAAAAGGAGTTCTCTTTTGAGTAGGTGAGACAAAAAGATCATAAGCTTAGGTGAACATCTGTTGAGGTAGCTGACCCAGTTCTATGGAGGGTATTATACAATGTAGTTGTATTCATGGAATGATACTTAATTTAGTAAAGGAATTTGAAAAACAAGACATGAGAAAAGAAGGAATCTAGTCATAATATGCCATACGTTATTTTTTTTAGCATTATATAGGCAGCAGACAACTACTTTGTCTTCCAGGTCCCTGGTTTTCTGGTGACCATCAGGCTTGTAACCTAAGGACCATTGTATGCACTGGAATCCTTTTGGGCCAAAGGAAGGCTCCTGAGATACCCAAGAGTGTTGTTAGAAACTGATGCACAGCCAGGGTTACAGATCACTAAGGAATCTTAACTCCCTTTTACTCCCTTCCATGAGTATTTATGAATCATGGAAGCCCTACGCTGGTTTCAAGAATGAGCTCGGCAGGATGGATGGAATGTGGGGATGGAAGATGTTGAGATCTGTGGAAGGCCTGGAGAAATAAATCCTTTTTCCCCTCGGGATAAAGTGAAATATTGAGAATTTGCACATCCAAAGCCAACACAAATAGATTGCAATAATTTTATGTGAGTTAGAGAACTATATAAATATTACACATTTATATATAGTTTGTTAGTGTGCATACTCCTGTAGGCATGCCTGTGTAGCTATACGTAGTTCACCATTGAAAAAGACAATGTCTCTGCAAACTAAGAGTTATTTTGACAAACAGAAATAAAATAGAGGAAAGTTTAAAACTTTTTTTCAAAAGTTTAAAACTTTTGACTCAAAAGCAGTACAGCTGACTTGCAGCAGACAGAAATACTGTGTACTGAAGGTTCAGCTTCTGGTAAGCCTTCTCTTCCCTTGCCTCCTGGGTGCACAGGGGTCTTCTCAGCTGTTTGGTTGCTCTGAGAAGGATCCCGTACAATGATGGGTGACTGGGAAGTTCTCTTCTGTGCTCTAGGGTGAAATGGAAGGTCTCAGAGACCTGCGTTCTGAGCCCTTTGGGGGGGTAAATCCTAAACTAGCAGGGCATTGCTGACTTGTCAAGCAGAGGAAGGACCAGGTACTTTCATCCTTGG